ACAAGGGTGTCCAGTTTACACGTTTCAACACCTTCGTCATAGCTTTTTTTGGAAGCCCAAGACTTCCAGACTTATGCCCAGTTATTTGTGATTTTTGGAATGTTTTTGTTCTTACCATTCTCCTTCCAACTCTGAATAAAAACGTTGTTCCTTTCCGTTGACCTGTCCACTGTTTTGTTTTTTTTGTGCGTTCGCGACTTTGCAATCAATCAATTTAATTTCAACTTTCTGTACTCAACTTCAACTTTTTTTTCAACTTTGCATGCATATCATTTTCCTAGATTAAAATTCTTGAGAAACACAGCGTACAATAAATATATGATAAATCGCTTTTTTCCTAAGTAAAGTTTTAATTAAACAAGAAAAGTTAAATAAATTGTTGCTAAAGGAAAATAATGATATTATTAATCATTATATTTTATTCAGAAATCAAGATTTGGAATAAAAGTCAGAGCATGTTTGCAGACTCTGATCAGACCTCAAATTCAGTATAAGAATTGTCGGAGTTCTCACATAATAGCGTGCTAAGAAGCAAGGCAAAGCTGACATAGAAACATTACGAGACAACAACTTTATCAGAAGAACAACTAATTTTACTATTAAGCAGCGACAAACGTCGGAATTTTTTTTGATTGTAGGTGACAAGCGTATTTCATTGACGATGCATGAGTCGCGCTTTACTAGACTTCGCTGCCCGAAAATTGCGTGGCGTTGTGCAGAGAATTATGAAAGCTGTAGGATTTAGAATAAACACTTCATGATCAGTTAATAAATACTTTAAGGACATGTCAACACTTAAAAATTAAAATTTACCGGTGCAAGGAATGATCCAAAAGTGGCGAGGCCTCACTTAGAGTCAACAAGTTCAGTCTTCATTTTCCATTCCCAAGTGGTATCGCGTTTGGGAATCAAAGTGTTGTAAACTTGAAAGCTAATTTCGTCGCTTTAAGGGCTTAAATATCCACTGTTTTCCGAATTGAGTGGTCTTCAACAAACTTACTTTTCATTTTAAGCTCCAAAACATCTTTCTCAACCGGAATGGAAGAGACTACCGTCTTGAAAACTTTGAAACTCGTAGCTAAACTGCAGTCAGTCGCGTAGCAAATGATTCCTCTTGGGGCATTTGTTTGTTGACGTCATAAGCGTGTTTAATTACGACAATTAAGCACGCGCGCAAATGAATTTGATTACAAGAATTTACCATCTATGTTATATAACAATTGTTCAATCGTATAATCAACGAGTTTGTCGTTACTAACTATTTTTGTAAATCAAACTGTCAATACACTTGGAGGGGATCTGGACACAGCTATGCAGGAGCACAAGACTATCATTCATAGGCGCTTAGGGCAGGTCACGTGGTAAAACCTTGGCCAGGAAAAGCAAAAATATCATCGAATCCCTACAGACATGAGAATACTCGATTCAGAGAAGCAATAATTTATTCCCATTTCTAACTATGTACAGTCTATTTCAAGAAAACTATTATTATGCTTTACATCGAATACTTTGAGTCTATTGAAGACTTTTCTTTTTCCCAAAGTATTCAAAAATAGACACATGGGCTTCATTGAAACTCTAATTGCAAATTGAAAATGAAGTAATTTTTCCTCGTAAGAACATGACGACCTAACTTGAAATTTCAAAATTATTATTAGTTATTCAACAGTATGAAACTGAGGTCTTAAGAAAATACTTTAAGTTGATATTATCAGCATTTAGTAAACTAACGATCACGGAATGTTTTGTTGACTTGATTTTCAGCTGCATTCCTGTCCACACCCCGGTATCACAGCGGCCAAACGTCTGCGCTGGTGCAAAAGTTGAAATCCAAGATACCAAGAGGTATCCAATTGTGACTGATATCGAAAAAGAAAAAGCAAAACACGCCGGAAACCCACAGTATTAATCAGTGTTTTTAAACGTACATCCGTTTTGGTAATACTCAAGTTTCGGTAATTTCGTCAGTTTCTAATAGAAAATTCAGCCCTAGAAATTAGGGCACTGCTGGCTTTAATTGATCCAATTGCACATGCCTAACTTTTGAAATAACGGTGGTCTAGAGAGGATCGTGGGCGCGCCGAAACACTTATGACCAAAGACTGAGCTTGCATGTTTGGGCGATGTGGTAAATCCGCTCATCTCAATTTAAAACTTTACATCTTGTAATTAAATATTTTCGAACTATTTTTTTCTAAACGTCACAGATTAAAGTTGATGTAAGGCTAGTACGTTCTTTCTGCTTGTTGTAAATCCAATCAAAAGACGGTTATCTAGACAGCCATTTCTGCTGTCTAAAGCTCGGCTTAGACTTAAACTCGGACTGGGCCAGATTTGCCGTTGCTATCTGAGCTTGGTTCCAGTGTCCTCATGGGCGTCAATTCCTCCTCGGCTACTTCATCCTTGTTAAAGCGTTTTCGTTTAAAGAAGCCGAACTGTCAGGGAAAGCAAAAAAAAAAAAAAAAAGAAAAAAAAAGAAAAAAGAAATCTTTTAACAACGAATATTGACTATGCCATTACAGAATTGCAAGTGGGAGCCAGAATAAATGCTAAGCGTGCTGATCTCAAATTGTTTAGAACTGGTCAGAATGCAGTGCTTTCAGAAGTAATCATCGTGTTGCTGTCTAAGGGGAGATTCACCTTTTCACGTGTACTGATGATAACTTAAACCAGCTTGAGTGGTCAACTCGATAAGAACGGGAGGGAGGGAGGGGGGGGGGGAGAGGGGCAGGTAAAGCAAATCAATCTCTTTTGTGCCCACTATCCCATTCTTATCCTTCCTGGATTCGACGCTGTATACGCCCATGTTGGGGGAGGGGGGGAGGGGGGGGGGAAGAGATTTAGGTTTCTTCCTAGAGACCCAACAGTGACCACAGCGTTGTTTTAAGGACTATCCTAACCAGGGTCGGTCGATGCGGTGTCCTATGCCCTCTTTATGAGGCCAAATAACCGGGCAATATATCTTAGTTGCTGCTTTGAAAGCCTGATACTGCAATTTCTGGAAAATCATATCTAAAGATGTCGCCTACTATGATAAAAATTTCGGCGAAAGCAAACACCATGATATCCAACTTACCTTGTAAAGGGCGAATCCTACCAGACAGAAAAGTAGAAGTCCTCCTAAAATAGACACGACAATGATCCAGGCCGCCACCTTTCCTCCGCCGCTTTTTGGCGTAGTCTTTGGATTGGCAGTCAGTCGAATCTGTAAAAAAAAATAAACAAACGGCTCTTGTTACTCCAGCAGGCCCTGAGTAAACTATTGTCACAATGTGTGCTCCAGTCTTTCATCGATTTCAATTCGTTACAAATGACAACTTCTTTTTACTTTTACAAAAGTTTTCTCCTTCGATCTCGCACCAAAGTTGTTGGCAAACACAATACTACCCAAAAGGAAATGGTAACTATCTCCATGAAACAATTTAAGAATGATATCTGTCCTCTCTGTAGTCGAAATAACTAGCCCATAGCGGTTATTTAAATGTCATCATGCGATATCACTCTCGAAAAAGGTGGATAGTTTGGTGCAACAATAAAAGTAACAGCCAAACGTCTGCTTGCCCTATTGCAACAATTTTCCCAGCACGTCAGCCAATTAAAATTTACCTTTTACATCTTGATCGAGAAAGAAACCGAGGATTGATATAGCATAATCATTATGTGACTCTCTCTATGAAGCTACATGATTGTCTAAAATGTTTCCGCGCCTTTTTGCATGAGAAATGTTTGCAGCAGTCTATACAATAACTTAGGCGTAAAAACAGCTATATATTTACATGTTTTATAGACGATAAAAAAAGAAAGAACCAAGAGAGTGTTAGTTTAGTTAATTTTTTATTTATCAGCAATATTCAATCACGCTGGCCCAGTTTAACTTCAAGTTGGTTTGAATGGGGCCTGTGAGGCCTGTTTAATCATTCTCCCACACAGTCAACTCCTTATTAAAAAGCCTGCGTAATGAAAATGACAACCGTGCTATTTGCCGTCTTCTTTCTTATATTTCTATGGAAATTTCAATAACCCTCAAAGAGCATTCTGGGAAGTAACGAGCCATCTCGGCAGAAAAAAAAAGGCAAACTTAATTTGACCGAGCTGCTTTGGTTAATTTTGTCCTCAACCACTCTTGGACAATCAGGTAAACGTGGGTAAAAAGAAACGGATTGAAGAACGTAGCAACGTAACGTGGGAGGGAAAACCAAGAACCAAAGAGCGAAGGAGGCAGAAAATATCAGCATGTGCTTAACAAGATTGACAAACGACTTTCTCAATATGATCTTCATCATTTTCAAATCAATATTAATAGTTTCTATCATGCCGGAAGTCCGTGAGGCTGAATATTCGGTGGATTTCCATCACTGCATGCAGCTAAGACGAAGACTTTTCGCTTCACAAAATGAAAGGGAAAAATATAAGATACCTCGTTGTAAGCAAGTAATGTAAGATTATTTGGTGGCAATGCTTTTCAAAATCGGTAATGGTAGTTAATATAATCTTTAGCGAAATCAGAAAAATCGATGAAGACGTCACATCAAAAAGTAAGCATTAACTTCAGAATTTTATCGGAAATGAGATATAAAAGTCATAAGGCATACCATTTCCTGATCATTTTTCAAACCTACCACTAGCAAAGAAAAAGATGATCGATAAAACGTCAATAACGTACTTGAGTCACTCAAGAACGGAAAGAGAGCAGCTGCGTTCATATGCTAATCTATGTACGACTTTGCAGAATACCGTCGTGTCTTGCTAGAGAACAGAAGCGTGCTATACTGATCAAAAATTCTTCTTGGTAAAGGACTTCAACCACGAACAGAATCCTTCCAACTTCCCTTCATTGCCTGGATTTTCTTTGGATGATCTTGCATAATTGTCACAGTGATGAAATATTGATATTGACGTAGTATACAATTCAAAAGCAACTCCAACTCAGTAAGCAAAAGACAGAACTAGCGAACTTGTGGTAAGGTTTTTTTCTGAACCGTTCCTCTTTAAACTATCCTATGGCATTTAACAACACGGTACCTTTTGACAACAGTTCAATTTCTTTGTCCGATCACGATGTGGCTTTCGCAGTCTTGTACTCCATGATCATTGCCATCGGCATTCCCGCTAACTGTGTTATAATCACCATTGTTCGAAAGACACCTTCAATGCACACCACAACAAACTATCTCCTGCTAAATTTGGCCATCGCCGATCTACTGACTTTGATACTTTGCCCTGGTAGCTACGACTATCTTCTTACCGAAGTGCATTTTGATAAAACAATTGGAGATATTGTCTGTAAAGTCTTCGCGGGAAATGCATTTGTTCCGATCACGATGAACGCTGCCGCCTTGACAGTTAGCACAATAGCTGTGGAAAGATACTTGGCGCTTGTTCGACCCTTCGAAATTGGTTTAAGACTAACTAAAAACCGACTTCCTTACGTGGTTGCCTTATTGTGGATAGTATCCGTCTCATCCTGCGTTCCTGACTTGTTATCAAATACTGTGGACTCAAATCCTCACTCAGGCTATCCGTGCAAACGACCTTGGAGAATTGACGAATATTATCATCACGAAGGCTTTATAACGTTCACTTCTATTGTCTTTGGAATTGTTCCAACCATCCTTGTAATTTTCTGCTATTTCGAACTTTTCCGTGGATTTTTCATCACGCATACAATATGTGCAGCAGCTTTGCAAGGTTCGAGCAGCCAAGCGTTGGCAGAACGACGCTCAAAAAGGCAGCTCTTTAAGCTTCTTTTGTGGGTTATGCTCCTATTTTGCGTTTGCACTTTGCCATTTTCTTTATTCTTTATATATCTAACCACTATCGACAAAGAAACCGCTGCAAGTGACCGCCCTCGCCTGTTTTTAATTCATAAAACCGTTCGGTTTCTTCTGATCGCCAATTCATTTTGCAACCCTCTAATTTACGCGTTTCAAAGCTCAAACTATCGACAGGGATTCAAACGAATTTTCTCCTGTAAACTGTTTCCCCAAAGAAATGCAAGACAACACAAAGATGACAACATACATAAATAATGCCAACTTTGCCAAGGTCAATTTTTTTTTAAAACAGTTTTAATGAAAAACATCACCTTAATGAATGACAAAGATGAAAGGTAGTTTTGATCATGACAGGTGCTCTTTAGATAAAAACAGACATCTGGTGGAAGAAGAGGATTTCTGACCATTGCAGTAACATATAGTGAAAAAGAAGTCTTTCGATTTCGCTATGTTTTTTTTTTTTTTTTAAAGGCATTTAAATTTAGTTAAATTTCGTCATTTTGCCCCCGGCATGACATCGCCAAACCCAGGGTAGCATACTAGCTAGGAAAACTGGGGACTCAGGAATGAATATGAAAAGACGAGTCGTTAAAGAATGTACAAAAATTTTGGAAAGAAGAGAAACAAACAGTTGGCACAAACCTTAACAATGTTATCTGTATTTTTTGGTTCTTTAACACCAGTTGGAGGAGTCACTTGAGCCGTCGTTGTAAGGTTCATCGAGCCAGCGTTCGTCTATGAGCAAAGAAATACTTCAGTGTTCAAAAACAAGAAGTCTTTTGGAACCGAAAGCATTGAAAGGCGCCTCTCAATTAAAAGGTACCTTAATGAGAGTATTCTGCCAGAGCCGGGACCTTATCTGTATCTTCACATCATCCCCTTTCTTCATTCTTCCCAAGACGCAAGGAACCCTTAGGCACGTCATGGCGTTATCAGATTTGCATGGCTGAAAAGTAATTTCCACAAGTGCTGCATTTAACAATTTTACGATAATTTTGCAAAAATTATTTTGTTATTGAAATATTGAAAACAAACTGGTAATTTACAATGACTTTCCTAAGTGTTGTTGAGTGCCGTGGTTTAACATTTGCAAACTTTTACAATTTACAAAATTGTAACTAAACACGTTTGTTGTTTAGAGTGCCTAATAAAGACTTATTATTATTATTATTATTATTATTATTTGACGAGGAATCGTGATTGATCAAGTTGCAATTGGTTTTGCAGCTGATTGGTTGTGATAGAAGATGGCACGATTTTGTTTTACCAATCACAGGGGGTACTGTGGTAAAAGTAAAGCATTCTTGTAGTAATTTTCATTTAGAATGAAAAATGACTCAAGCAGCGAGGCTAAGCATCTACGGTAACCTGGAAGTGATAGAAGAATCGCGAATGTGAGCACTGTTGACCAGCGATAATAATAATAATAGTCTTCTTATCATTATTCTCATTATAATTCAAATGATAATTTTCATTATCATTATTATTTGCATTTTTATCATTGTTATTATTAAGTTTTCAAACTTCCCACAGTGAAAAAGAAGAGAAAGGAAAAATCAGCGACTTACTGTTATGGTCTGCTTTACTGAAGGTCCAATATCAAAAGCGTTCTTGACCTCAGAAACTTTATCCTTGTACACCACTTGATCTGGATTAGAAAATCTGAAGAGAAAAAAAAGAAACGTAAGCCTTTTACCTACATTTGGGAGACGATCGGTGGTCAAATATTTTACATTTTATGAAGTTCCCATGGTCAACAGTTAAGCCGCAACTCTTCAAGCTTGGTCGCAGAGGAGATTTTCAGGTAGTTTTTATCGGAAACGCAGCAGTGGACTTGAAGAGTCTTTCAGTGCATGTCGTACTTACAAGTTAAGTTTCTTTTCTGATGAACCAATTTTATTAAATTCTGGGTCAAGCCTACTTTCAATGTAAAAACAAAACAACAACAACAAAAAATGATCGCGTGGTCTGAAAAAAAAATGACCTATGAGAATGGTTGGAACAGACCAAGCTGATGCTTAATAATCTCTCGTAAATTTTGAGAGCGGAGAATGGTAAAATGTAACACTTACCCAACAATACTAAGATCTGCTTCAAGACATTTGACAAGAACTTGGAGACTTTCTTTGTTATTAGATTTGTCCACGTCTTCACTGAGACCACTAAGAACATGAAAATAAGAAATTCATTATCAAAGAATCGTAGTCAACCACGCTTCAAATTTTGTTTACGTCTGGGAAACCTCGAATATTTCTTTTTGGTTATCGACGAAATTTTGTAAAATAGAGAAAAATTGAAGTGCTGATGATCTTCAGAGAGAATGACGGCAATCCACAAAGAACAAAGTACTGTTGTTTATAGGTGATTAGGATCCGTTAACACAATGTATACCCTCTTCTTTGACAAAAAAGCCCTGGTTTGTATTAGTTACGTACAGTTCAATAGCTTTTCTGTATGTTAAAGTACTCACCTTGTAGCCTCAAGATGAATAGTAAACTGAGTTATGTTTCCCGTGATTCTTTGGGCGTTGAATATGACTATCCACAGTTCTGTCAACACAGAAACCGTGATAAACTACAGTGAACTCACATGCCTTAGTGCGCCAGTCAGGAATCGAAGCGACAGTATGCGACCCAAGTCAAGCGCGGAAAAAACAGGTCGTAAAAGATGCGCAGCACGTGCCGATCAAATAAAGAAAACCGCATCTTCCTTTAGTTACGATGGGATCTGTGCTTTATTCAAAATTAGCTGTTCAATTCTTGACGATAGGACTTTTACACTAATTATTAAAAAGATACTTAATGTTCTGTACCTTTCCCAGGAGATTATTAGCTTGCGTCGAACTCGCCAGAAACTCTGGATTATGAATGAAAATAAAAACAAGAAAACAAACAAAAGTTAGATCATGTTTCTAATTGGCAGTGTTTTCGCCAGTGTGTGTCACCGGTTTAACAAGAAGGCATTCAACCGACTTTCATATGTGATGGAACTTCATACCTTCTCTTCTCTTATTTTGAGATTTGAAATTTCCAATTCCAACGGCGTAACCTAAAATGCAAATAAAATCGTGAATTAATCGCCCGAATTATTCGCGAATTGTAACTTTCCTCAATTCCTTCTAAGGGGAGTCGGAAATATTGGGCCTGCGTTGAATAAGACTCAATATGGTACTACTACAAGGGTTTGTAATCACCGTGACAAATTTCAGTAATTGAGGCACGGAACTAAGCCGTCTTAACTCGAAAGTAATACAGGATTGGATGGGTTTGCTACACTGCACCCTGTGATTGGTCAAATGTACCCGCCTCACCCTCTCAACCAATCAAATGCCAAAACCAGTCGAGACTTGGACCCTCGTGCTTGCGCGCGCTGGAGTCATTCGCGAATTTACTTAGGATCTTATTTGCTTTTTGGCGTATTTTCTTTTGATTTGATTAACCAACGTAACTACTTAGGTTTTTGGATTTTTCGATGCAAAAATGTTAAAAATATAAAAAAAGCGATTGTCCCATTTAAACTCACCCAAAGCGCTACCACTGCTAAGATCAGGATACAGGGCTGAAAAGCCTCGAACTCAGTTTAAGGCATCATTCACTATACTTCTGTTTGATCTTTATAGTTTTCCTTTTTTCGTCAACTACTGTTCGAATGTATAATTTAATCGTTGTCTTAGCTCACACAAAGAATAGAACTCCTACATTATTAAAAATTGTAACGAAATTATTGGAAATTTTGCTAACACTCGGCCGGTAATCTGCGCATCAATTATTCCTTAAACATTTTTTCGGTGCCTATCTTCTACTTAAAAATAGGAACAATTCATGATATATCAAGGAAAATTCATCCAATCCAAGTGTGTTAACCCTTTAAGTTCCACTGATGACCAAGATAGAATTTGTCCTTACACTATCTGCTCAATATCAAGCCGACAAGTGATGAGAATAAAGAAAAATATCGATTGGGGGATTATTTGTTGATCCAATTCCAAATTCTCCAAACTAACATCATGTGAATTGTATGACAGACAATAAAGAGAATTACTAATGAGATCTTGGGAGTTAAAGGGTTAACATATCTTTTTCGTACTTTTCTAGGTTGGAGATTGGTGTTGAGTAATTCGTGATGTTTGCGCTCTCCTTCTAACTCTCATTTTTTCAAAGGCATGTGACGAGAGAATTACAACTATGCTTCACAAATCGCCCCAGCTCTATTAAATGTCAAATTAACTTCAAAATCGTTAACGGAAGGTTTAGTCTACAGAGTTGCTGCACGCCTTTCCATAGCGCGAGCGTTCTCTGTTCGGGTTTGCACACCTTGAAAGGGGCGCCTTCTTCTAATGAAATCTTTGACTGCCTTCTTAAATTCAGAACTCCGAAAGCTGTACAAAACAGGGTTAATGGCTGAGTTAAGAAAACCCAACATAAGAAAGAAGGTGTTCAATTTAGGATACTTTGCGATATCGATGGCACACTTCCAACACAGATTGTAAGTGATGCTCAGAAATGAGAAAGGCAGCCAATAGACCACGAACGAGAAAACGATCAGAAACGTTGTCTTGGCTGCGCGAATGTTCCGTTGTTGTAATTTACTGATGAGGATGGCTTCATGTCGCGATCGCATAGATTCGACAGGTCGTTGTTCTGAGGTAGGTGAATTGGGGCTGTTTTGGACTGGGTTTTGGCTTGCTGGGTTTATAATGCCTCCTGGTTCCGCTACTGAAACTTTCCCTCTCTTTCCTTTGAATCTAGTTGTGTGTTTAGTTTTTCCATTTCGGCGGCCAGTTTTTGGAGGATGCGCCCGCTTGATTGCGACGCAGAACATTTTGCAGTTCAGAAAGGAAGCGATTACAACTGGTGCCACAAAATTTATAATCGAACTTAAGACTGAATAAGTTGAAGAGAAGTTGAAATAACAGTATTCATTATAAACTCTACCTGGAAGCGTATTCCAGCCGAAGACTGGGACGAGTGAAAAGAGCATGGAGTATGCCCATAAACAATAAACGACTATAGAGGCGCGCCTGCGAGTAATCAGCGGCGATGCCTTGTAGATGTCCGAAGGTTCTTGTAGGAGTCGGTATCGATAAACTGTCAAAGCCAACAAGCCTAGAATGGACGTGGGTACAGCAATTAAGTATGTTGTCATCCATACATTGCACATGATCTCATCGTGTATCCAGCGCTCGAATGTAATGATCAGCTCCAATTCAAACGGCATCAACAGACAAGTTGTTATCAGATCAGAAACTGGCAGGGAGAGGATAAAGCACGAGTTGATGGATTGCCGCAGGGATCTGGTGCTTATTATGACCACACAAACTGTGATATTTCCCAGCAGCGAAGTGATAATAATGATGACGTAAATTATGGAAAATGTCATCATAATTAGTGAGACATCAAGATTTTGAATGACTGGCGAGGCGGTCGAGTTTATCGCATTTTCTGACTCATCCATGGTGAACAAGAACCTTTCTTATTTGCAAAGCCTGTAAAAATGGAAAATGTAGTATACATTGATGGCTGTGACAATTACAAATATACATACATGTACTGGTATCTGATTGGCTGAAACCAAAGTCAAAGGTTGCAGGCATAAAACGAGACTATATTTTTTCTTACAGTGTGGTTGTTAAAGGACAAAATTGGCATCTAGCAAAAATTTTCATTACAGGTGATTTTTGACTTATTTGAACGTGAAAATAAATGAAAAAAATACTTTAGCACAAGCCACTCAGTAAAAATTACAATAAGCCAATTGATCATTTCTTATTTCTTTTGGCGGTCTTATCTTACAGGTGTATTTTAGCAGGCTCGATACCTCTTTTTCTTAGAGGTGACTTTAGGTGTAAACATGTAGTACGTTTCATCTTCCGCACTGAATTTGTAATTAGATAACTTATGCGGCTAGCACATAGCTCTTTTAAGGGCGGTACCTTGGGTACGCCCTTTCTTCTCCGGATTTTGTGTTTATTCTGCTGTTATGCAACAGCCTTCAAGGACTAATTTCTCTTAATATATTTTTCAAGTATGATTTTAATTCTGTTAGTAAGTTTATTATAATTTTTATATTGTCAATCTTGTTTTTGTTTTGCCCGAACTTGACCGTAAGACTAAGAAATTTAAGTTAGAAAGACATTTCGTAAAGCGTAAACGTCGCGAAGCTATCTACTTAGTATGCGAACTAAGCAGGTGAAAAAGGATTTACATGTCAAATACCAAGAAGCCTAAAAGCTTATTTTTCATTTCTTTAGTTTTCCTCAAAAGAACTCTTCAGAATTTATTCATTACTTTTCGTTTATATTAACATTCTCTGAGAACTAAAAGAAAAGGTTATCAGAATGAAGATGTTTTTTAGTAATAATCATACAGTGCTCAATTACATTGTTCTCGTTTTCAATTCTTGATCATTTTATCAAATATCTTTCAGGGTATTAGGAATGGCGAATATTCTGTTCAAAAAGTAACTGTCTGGCAGATCCGTGTTTGATCAGTTCCTCCCGTCAATCTCGGTTATTTCGTATATAACTGTTTTGAGGTCGAGAATGTTCTAGTGACTTAGTCTTGAGATCAGCTGTAATCTTCAAGAAGCCAGACATACATGCGACCGACACACTGAGCGGAAACAAACTGTTTGTTTTTGCTGAATGAGCAAGCAAGAAAACAGCAGGCCTTGACACCTTCGCTCTGACGAAAGGCTAACGCTTGAGACATCAGTGTCAGAATCTCTATAGAGGTCAATTCACATTATCAACTCATAAAACCAAGTAGTCTGAGGCTCGTTTGCTGGAATAAAACTATTCTAGACATCTCGAAAAGGCTAACTCTACTCTTCGCTCTCCGTCTTTACAAGTCAACTATCCTGAAAGCTGAAACAGTCACTGGATGATTAGGTCGCTTATGTTTTAAAGCTAAACTTGAAAAAGAAGAAATTTATATTTCATCGGTGAAAGTCAACTTCGAATTTGAAAGGTTATTATTGTCATCAGAACACTGGCTTGCACCTTTGTAACATAATCACCATTTGTTGTTCCCTCTATTGCTAATTATAGTAACTCAATTGTGTAACCCTCGAATTTCTAGAAATGCATTGGAAGACAAAGTTTTTGGATCATACCTGTCTTTGAGGAAGTTCTTAGGATCTCAAGAGAGAGTCTTGATCCAGGCTGTTTGACTTTCTCATGGCAAGTTTCAGATGACTCTAAATTTGATAAAGATGTTTACACGCCATCGCCCAGAGTAAATTTTCCATAACAATCGATTGATCGCGTTATTCAAAATTCGGGCTGCCACTTATTGCAACTGATGTCCATTTTTTGACAGCAAACATTGATAATGAAGTTAAAAATATAAAAGAAACCGGCTGCATAAATGAAAATTTAGTTTTACTAACCTCAACTTAAGTTAAAGTTATTCTGCCAAAGCATGCAAGTACTGCCTTACATTCATGTCCACCGAAAGATGTACTTCGAAACTATTGGTTTGGTAACGTAAATCAGACAGGAAAAGGAATCACACAGTCATGGCCTAATTATTGACTAAAATAAGAGCTGAAATAAAGAACTAATTTCTAATTTACGCATTTGGTGGTAAGATTTCTTTGTCACCGGGAGAATTTGTTTTTCAGTGAAAAAAATTACGCAGCTGCTGAAGTCGGTATAACAAAGTCAGACAAAGCCTCCGCTATGTCTGATGGGGAAGAACAGGTGGCTTACTTGCACGCGATCACATCGGGAAAATGATTGATGGAGACTTCCGTTTAAAGCTTCCTCGATAAGTTGAAGTCCAATCTTCTCAAACGCGGAAATAAAACAAAAAAGGAGAGAAGTATATGGACCAATTCGTAAAAATTCAATTCCTAAAACCAAGAGGAAATGAAGTCTCATTATCTTCTCTTGATAAATCATAAAATAACCTCGCCTTATGAACAATCGGTTAATACGACCACCTTCTCGTCACAACGTCCAGCGTTTTTTTGTGCTCGAACGAATCGAGAGTCCTGACAATTTTCACTTTAAAGCTTACGGCCAATTAATCTAACCATTTAACGGCCAAATTTACAAGGGAAATGTTTTTCATGGAACTAAGTTTCAGCTGAGGATGTCTAACCTGAAGAGTTGAGTTACAACAAAGCGCGCTTAATTGTACTTGAGATGTGAACCCACAATAGAGAACAGGAAAAAAAAAGAAAAACCTCTTTCAATAATTTTCATCTTGATTTAGGACAATCTAGGTTTTTATACTCTTTCAAATGAATTATCTTGTGCTCAATAATTTGTTTTTCGAATATTTTCACTCATTTGTAAAATAAACTTCCCAGGTCCGCTCAGTCAAACGACGTAATTATTCGCTGTTTTACGTTTAGTTTAACGATCACTTTCAAGTCGCCATGGATGTCTAGCAAGCCACCTGGGCTTAATTTTAATTTGCTTTCTCGAAATTCTCCTGCTATGTTTCCCTTTAACGTTGAAAAACAAACAAAAAAAGTTATAACTCTCTCGTCTCCTTGGCCCCCTTTAATACTCCTTTTTACTTCAAATAGGCTGTATTGAGTTAAACCGATATTCTGGGCTTTTCATTTTTTTTAGTACGAGTCAATTTATACCAAACGCTATTTTCAGTTTTTTCTCGGAAGAAATGAACTGAAGAGGAGTTGTAAGACTTCTGACGATAATGACTACTTTCAAACAATACCTTAGTTACCGATATCGCAGGTGCAAACAAACTTTGCTGATTACGGAAACGGTCTTAAACCGTCTATTTTGAACGCGAAAGCAAATTCAAGATAAAAATTCAAAATTAACAAGTTCGATGCTACGTTTCTTCAAACTGGAGCCTCTCCAATCATAATCATTTGAAGTATGGGAGAATATGGCTACAGAATTCGAATGACCACTATGTAGAAATTATGAAGATAACTAAAAATAATTATTATATATTTAAATTATTCGGTGTTTCCGAATTATAAAGCCGCTTGCTAATGATGAAACAGATATCTTGATCAGTGACAAGGATGTCAGCAAACTTAACCAAGACAATGAATGGAACACAGTTCGTGTCGAGCTGCTTCAACACTGAAGCAAAAATAATCGCTGAAATCTTTGCTTATTGTTTGGTTTTTGTAGTTTCGCTGGTTGGAAACACCTTGATCGGAATTGTTGTTTGCAAGAAAAAAGCTCTGAGAAAGCCCATTAATTTTTTGATTGTAAACATGGCCATGTCCGACCTGCTGTTCCCGATTTTCCTGATTCCTAACAACGTGATATGGTTACACACCAGCTCTTGGGTGTTCCGCGGTCTTCTTGGCAAGGCTTTGTGCAAACTTGTTCCCTTCTTCATAGAATCCTCCCTTGTTGTCTCTGTTCAAAGCTTGGTTCTGATCGCAGTGGATCGATTTGGAGCTGTTTTTTATCCTCTTCGGTACCCACTCATCAGTTTAAAGCTGTGCCGGTTCCTTATTCTCGCCACTTGGATCATCGCCATGGCTGGCTGGTGCATAAACTTGTTCACCTTTAACCTTGTCGAATATTCAGAAAGACTGGCGTGTGTGCGAATCTGGAGTGAAGCATTGGGAAAGTACTTTTCCTTTGAAACCTTCATTGTGGTAATGCATGTTGTATTCCGATATGTCCCTTTGATTTTTATAGCAATAATTTACGTTTCCATTGCTATAAAAATCAAATGCCAGAAGACGCCAGGCTTGCAAATAGTCAATTCAAGAGAACGCCGTTTGAAGAGAGAAAGGAGCGTTCTGAAGATGTCCGTTGCCATTGTGTCAGTGTTCGGAATATGCTGGTTGCCTCACACCATCGGCTGGTTCCTTATCACATTTTCATCGAATACCACTATGATATCGTCTTGTGGCTTTCTATACTTTAGGTCTGTTGCCTATTTCCTTGCTGTGGCAAACTGTGCTATAAGTCCTTGCATCTGTTTTACTTTCAGTGGGAATTATCGCGGGGAACTCAAGAACATTCTTAGCTGCTTTTTCTGCTAATCCGAAGGCTTACATATACAGTTGCAAAATAAAATTGTTACATAATCAGGCCGAAATGAATTTCCTACGGATAAGAGACAAATTGAACTCGGTAACAAGCCTCCATTAGATTACAACCCGACGACATTGTGCAATTTCTAATTCGTGATTTCAGTTGTTGTTTTTTTTTTTCAGCCTAAAAACAGTTAGCCTCTGGGAAAGAGAAATGCGATCATCTCTTTTTACATACACACACAAAAAAACGTCTAGATTCTATTCCTCTATCTATTCCTTTTTCTACTTCCTGTTTATGACGCGTATAGATATAATCATAGGCCGGAATTATCTGTATTTAGCTGTAAGTTTTATTAAAAGTGATTCAAAGCTGCGCGTGGACCTAAAATTTGTAAATATTAGCCTTCACAATCGTTTCTGTTCGATAAGAAACCGACGGACAAAGTCTTTATCTAAGACATTTTCTAACGCCGCCATCTTAGTTTCCTAAATATTCCCGCTTAAACAGAGATTGTCAGTTTCACTGCCATTGGACGAAAACGAAAAACCAAAAACGACTTGTAATCCGTTTTCAAAATTCCATACGAAAACGAAAAACCAAAAACGAAAAAGAAAATTAAAATCCGTTTTTTGGGCTACAGAAAAAGAAAAACGGAGAGCATTAAGTGAATTCGAATTCCGTTTCCTTCCCGACGGGGAAAAATGAAAAACGAAAATTTCGTTTTTTTACTGGAAAGAAAAACTAAAAACGAAGATAAAATTTGTGTTTCATTTTCCCATACAATTGAAAATCGGTTGGCACTAAGGTACACGGATTCTTGACACTGCTTCAAGTTGAGGTGAGCGTATGCGGGAGAGCATGAGTGGTAATAAAGATCGAGATTTTGAGAAAACCAAAATATCGAGATTAGACAAATGATTTGGTTGCCTAGTTCATATGGACACGTGCATGGACAGATGACTATTAACAGTTAGTTTTCATATTAATTAAACTTTGTAAATCCCTTGAGTTCTAGCTGCCCCGCACAGAGTTAGGAGACTAGCTTAGGTTAAAGGTCCTGTTGTATTTCGAAGAAACGATTAAGTAAAGAACGTGGATAGACAAGGAATTCTTATCATCAACAAAATCTTCCTGGTCAACTATGCTGTAACCTGAGATTGAACTTAAGCCTATTTTTCTCAGTTTCTTCTTGCAAAAGCCAGTACAAGGCAAAGCCGATACAACCGAAAATTAAGAGTGGTTAGCCACTGATAGATAGCTTTAGCACTATCACTGTAGAAAGTTAAATAAATTAGGGCTTCATAACATTTTTAAGAAACTGAAATTTGCCAAAGTTTAACCATCTCTTGGACTTCACGATCATTTTATCGAATGTGTATCTCGTCAGCCTTGAATATTTTATGCAATCAACTTGAAATGAGAAGGTATTGTAATTCAGTAATAATAAAATGGGAGGAAAAAAAAAACACGTAAACTTAAGAGTCTAAACAATTGCTTCCATATCGCCCATACGCCTCTAATTAACTGCTGTTTCGTTTATTTCAAGAGATATGAAGCACACGGGAAGTTTGGAGAGTACAAATGATATGTAGGTTGCTACGAGTTGCTCGAGGTTATGCCTCAAGCAACTCTAGCTTCTTGAGTGCTCTCTAAAACTTCCGAGTGCCTCATATCTCGATGAATACACTGCTGAAGAATAAATCACTTGTTTTATAACATTTTCAACACAGTTCTTTGACAGCTGTTTGTACAGGTAATCACATGATTTTGAGTGCAATTTTGGATAAATCAGCATGAGTAATATTTTCGAAGGCTAAAACAAATTATACACGTTGACTGCAATTTGTAGTCTTTAAAAGATGTACGAGTGCTACAATTTATTTCAAATTGCACGAAATGAATCATGTGGTTATTAAGAAATAAAAAACGCGCCGAGTGCGTTGTTGAGTTATATAGGCACGCGGGAATTTTTAAGAACACGAGAGAAGTGCGGAGAAGCACGAGCCGAAGGCGAGTGCTTCTCACACTTCTCGAGTGTTCTTAAAAATTCCCACGTGCTTATATGACTCAACAATGCTCGAGGAACAAGTTTTTTTCATTTCTTTTATAAAATGTATTGTGAATTGCGCGCGCTTGAACCGATGACGTAGGCTGCGTGCATTATTGAAGAAATGTAAAATGGTTTCCGTGTTTACATAGCCTGATGTAAACACGCGGGAGGTTGGGAGAACACGAGATAAGCGTAGGAAACCACGACGCGAAGCGGAGTGGTTTCCAGCTTATCGATTTTATAAAATAACTAATGAAAGAGGAACGAAAACCGTGTTTACATACGCTCATGTAAAATGGTTTTATGGCCAATCAGAGCGCGCGTACTATTTGAATTATTTTATAAATTTCAACAGTGCACTCGTGTGACGTAAGGCACGTGCTATATGGAAATATAATAAACTCGTTCTAACCAATCACGGCGCGCGTATTTCTCTTAACTTTTTATAATTATTAATAATATACCTGCAAAAAATTCCGACTGTTTTTCTCTTGAGTCGCTTGAGAGCAGTAACAATCACAAGTTGGTTATCAGGCTAGTAATCCTCCCCGTGTTTCTTAGGAACTGTCGGGTAAAACTCCGAAAATTTTGCTTAGATATAGAAAATCTCTTTCGTTTTTAAATTTCAAGGAACAGTTTTCTTTCCTTTTTTTTTATATTAGTGCGCGCGGTGCACGTGATTTCACAAATTAGCCAATCACATCACAGAACTCTAATCTTGACATTGGAAAACTGACGTGTACATTTTTGGCGTACTTTTCTTCTTTGTTTTTATTGAGTTTAGTTAGTTCTTTTTGAGCTTTCGTTGGCGCAAATTTGTTACCCCTTTGTTTGGAATCTTAACATTTTAGAAAAATGTTGTGGTTCATTTAAAAAGTTTAATACATATTTTCTGCGGAGTTTGGTCTCTAGCCTCTTTTTTTGTAAATTGGATTTTTTACAAGGGTGTCCAGTTTACACGTTTCAACACCTTCGTCATAGCTTTTTTTGGAAGCCCAAGACTTCCAGACTTATGCCCAGTTATTTGTGATTTTTGGAATGTTTTTGTTCTTACCATTCTCCTTCCAACTCTGAATAAAAACGTTGTTCCTTTACGTTGACCTGTCCACTGTTTTGTTTTTTTTTGTGCGTTCGCGACTTTGCAATCAATCAATTTAATTTCAACTTTCTGTACTCAACTTCAACTTTTTTTTCAACTTTGCATGCATATCATTTTCCTAGATTAAAATTCTTGAGAAACACAGCGTACAATAAATATATGATAAATCGCCTTTTTCCTAAGTAAAGTTTTAATTAAACAAGAAAAGTTAAATAAATTGTTGCTAAAGGAAAATAATGATATTATTAATCATTATATTTTATTCAGAAATCAAGATTTGGAATAAAAGTCAGAGCATGTTTGCAGACTCTGATCAGACCTCAAATTCAGTATAAGAATTGTCGGAGTTCTCACATAATAGCGTGCTAAGAAGCAAGGCAAAGCTGACATAGAAACATTACGAGACAACAACTTTATCAGAAGAACAACTAATTTTACTATTAAGCAGCGACAAACGTCGGAATTTTCTGATTGTAGGTGACAAGCGTATTTGATTGACGATGCATGAGTCGCGCTTTACTAGACTTCGCTGCCCGAAAATTGCGTGGCGTTGTGCAGAGAATTCTGAAAGCTGTAGGATTTAGAATAAACACTTCATGATCAGTTAATAAATACTTTAAGGACATGTCAACACTTAAAAATTAAAATTTACCGGTGCAAGGAATGATCCAAAAGTGGCGAGGCCTCACTTAGAGTCAGCAAGTTCAGTCTTCATTTTCCATTCCCAAGTGGTATCGCGTTTGGGAATCAAAGTGTTGTAAACTTGAAAGCTAATTTCGTCGCTTTAAGAGCTTAAGTATCCACTGTTTTCCAAATTGAGTGGTCTTCAACAAACTTACTTTTCATTTTAAGCTCCAAAACATCTTTCTCAACCGGAATGGAAGAGACTACCGTCTTGAAAACTTTGAAACTCGTAGCTAAACTGCAGTCAGTCGCGTAGCAAATGATTCCTCTTGGGGCATTTGTTTGTTGACGTCATAAGCGTGTTTAATTACGACAATTAAGCACGCGCGCAAATGAATTTGATTACACGAATTTACCATCTATGTTATATAACAGTTGTTCAATCATATAATCAACGAGTTTGTCGTTACTAACTATTTTTGTAAATCAAACTGTTAATACACTTGGAGGGGATCTGGACACAGCTATGCAGGAGCACAAGACTATCATTCATAGGCGCTTAGGGCAGGTCACGTGGTGAAATCTTGGCCAGGAAAAGCAAAAATATCATCGAATCCCTACAGACATGAGAATACTCGATTCAGTGAAGCAATAATTTATTCCCATTTCTAACTATGTACAGTCTATTTCAAGAAAACTATTATTATGCTTTACATCGAATACTTTGAGTCTATTGAAGACTTTTCTTTTTCCCAAAGTATTCAAAAATAGACATATGGGCTTCATTGAAACTCTAATTGCAAATTGAAAATGGAGTCATTTTTCCTCGTAAGAACATGACGACCTAACTTGAAATTTCAAAATTATTATTAGTTATTCAACAGTATGAAACTGAGGTCTTAAGAAAAATACTTTAAGTTGATATTATCAGCATTTAGTAAACTAGCGATCACGGAATGTTTTGTTGACTTGATTTTCAGCTTTGGTTGTTCAGGTGCACCTGCATTCCTGTCCACACCCCGGTATCACAGCGGCCAAACGTCTGCGCTGGTGCAAAAGTTGAAATCCAAGATACCAAGAGGTATCCAATTGTGACTGATATCGAAAAAGAAAAAGCAAAACACGCCGGAAACCCACAGTATTAATTTGTGTTTTTAAACGTACATCCGTTTTGGTAATACTCAAGTTTCGGTAATTTCGTCAGTTTCTAATAGAAAATTCAGCCCTAAAAATTAGGGCACTGCTGGCTTTAATTGATCCAATTGCACATGCCTAACTTTTGAAATAACGGTGGTCTGGAGAGGATCGTGGGCGCGCCGAAACACTTATGACCAAAGACTGAGCTTGCATGTTTGGGCGATGTGGTAAATCCGCTCATCTCAATTTAAAACTTTACATCTTGTAATTAAATATTTTCGAACTATTTTTTTCTAAACGTCACAGATTAAAGTTGATGTAAGGCTAGTACGTTCTTTCTGCTTGTTGTAAATCCAATCAAAAGACGGTTATCTAGGCAGCCATTTCTGCTGTCTAAAGCTCGGCTTAGACTTAAACACGGACTGGGCCAGATTTGCCGTTGCTATCTGAGCTTGGTTCCAGTGTCCTCATGGGCGTCAATTCCTCCTCGGCTACTTCATCCTTGTTAAAGCGTTTTCGTTTAAAGAAGCCGAACTGTCAGGGAAAGCAAAAAAAAAAAAAAAAAAAAAAAAAGAAAAAAGAAATCTTTTAACAACGAATATTGACTATGCCATTACAGAATTGCAAGTGGGAGCCAGAATAAATGCTAAGCGTGCTGATCTCAAATTGTTTAGAACTGGTCAGAATGCAGTGCTTTCAGAGGTAATCATCGTGTTGCTGTCTAAGGGGAGATTCACCTTTTCACGTGTACTGATGATAACTTAAACCAGCTTGAGTGGTCAACTCGATAAGAACGGGAGGGAGGGGGGGGGGGGGAGAGGGGCAGGTAAAGCAAATCAATCTCTTTTGTGCCCACTATCCCATTCTTATCCTTCCTGGATTCGACGCTGTATACGCCCATGTTGGGGGAGGGGGGGAGGGGGGGGGGAAGAGATTTAGGTTTCTTTCCTAAAGACCCAACAGTGACCACAGCGTTGTTTTAAGGACTATTATAACCAGGGTCGGTCGATGCGGTGTCCTATGCCCTCTTTATGAGGCCAAATAACCGGGCAACATATCTTAGTGGCTGCTTTGCAAGCCTGATACTACAATTTCTGGAAAATCATATCTAAAGATGTCGCCCATTGTGATAAAAATTTCGGCGAAAGTAAACATCGTGATATCCAACTTACCTTGTAAAGGGCGAATCCTACCAGACAGAAAAGTAGAAGTCCTCCTAAAATAGACACGATAATGATCCAGGCCGCCACCTTTCCTCCGCCGCTTTTTGGCGTAGTCTTTGGATTGGCAGTCAGTCGAATCTGTAAAAAAAATAAACAAACGGCTCTTGTTACTCCAGCAGGCTCTGAGTACACTATTATCACAATGTGTACTCCAGTCTTTTATCGATTTCAATTCGTTACAAATGACAACTTCTTTTTACTTTTACAAAAGTTTTCTCCTTCGATCTCGCACCAAAGTTGTTGGCAAACACAATACTACCCAAAAGGAAATGATAACTATCTCCATGAAACAATTTAAGAATGATATCTGTCCTCTCTGTAGTTGAAATAACTAGCCCATAGCGGTTATTTAAATGTCATCATGCGATATCACTCTCGAAAAAGGTGGATAGTTTGGTGCAACAATAAAAATAAAAGCCAAACGTCTGCTTGCCCTATTGCAACAATTTTCCCAGCACGTCAGCCAATTAAAATTTAACTTTTACATCTTGATCGAGAAAGAAACCGAGGATTGATATAGCATAATCATTATGTGACTCTCTCTATGAAGCTACATGATTGTCTAAAATGTTCCCGCGCCTTTTTGCATGAGAAATGTTTGCAGCAGTCTATACAATAACTTAGGCGTAAAAACAGCTATATATTTACATGTTTTATAGACGATAAAAAAAAAGAAAAAACCAAGATAGTGTAAGTTTAATTAATTTTTTTATTTATCAGCAATATTAAACCACGCTGGCCCAGTTTAACTTCAAGTTGGTTTGAATGGGGCCTGCGAGGCCTGTTTAATCATTCTCCCACACAGTCAACTCCTTATTAAAAAGCCTGCGTAATGAAGATGACAACCGTGCTATTTGCCGTCTTCTTTCTTATATTTCTATGGAAATTTCAATAACCCTCAAAGAGCATCCTGGGAAGTAACGAGCCATCTTGGCAGAAAAAAAAAGGCAAACTTAATTTGACCGAGCTGCTTTGGTTAATTTTGTCCTCAACCACTCTTGGACAATCAGGTGAACGTGGGTAAAAAGAAACGGATTGAAGAACGTAGCAACGTAACGTGGGAGAGAAAACCAAGAACCAAAGAGCAAAGGAGGCAGTGAATAGCAACATGTGCTTAACAAGATTGACAAACGACTTTCTCAATATGATCCTCATCATTTTCAAATCAATATTAATAGTTTCTATCACGCCGGAAGTCCGTGAGGCTGAATATTCAGTGGATTTCCATCACTGCATGCAGCTAAGACGAAGACTTTTCGCTTCACAAAATGAAAGGGAAAAATATAAGATACCTCGTTGTAAGCAAGTAATGTAAGATTATTTGGTGGCAATGCTTTTCAAAATCGGTAATGGTAGTTAATATAATCTTTAGCGAAATCAGAAAAATCGATGAAGACGTCACATCAAAAAGTAAGCATTAACTTCAGAATTTTATCGGAAATGAGATATAAAAGTCATAAGGCATACCATTTCCTGATCATTTTTCAAACCTACCACTAGCAAAGAAAAAGATGATCGATAAAACGTCAATAACGTAAGTGAGCCACTCAAGAACGGAAAGAGAGCAGCTGCGTTCATATGCTAATCTATTTACGACTTTGCAGAATACCGTCGTGTCTTGCTAGAGAACAGAAGCGTGCTATACTGATCAAAAATTCTTCTTGGTAAAGGATTTCAACCACGAACAGAATCCTTCTAACTTCCCTTCATTGCCTGAATTTTCTTTGGATGATCTTGCATAATTGTCACAGTGATGAAATATTAATATTGACGTAGTATACAATTCAAAAGCAACTCCAACTCAGTAAGCAAAAGACAGAACTAGCGAACTTGTGGTAAGGTTTTTTTCTGAACCGTTCCTCTTTAAACTATCCTATGGCATTTAACAACACGGTACCTTTTGACAACAGTTCAATTTCTTTGTCCGATCACGATGTGGCTTTCGCAGTCTTGTACTCCATGATCATTGCCATCGGCATTCCCGCTAACTGTGTTATAATCACCATTGTTCGAAAGACACCTTCAATGCACACCACAACAAACTATCTCCTGCTAAATTTGGCCATCGCCGATCTACTGACTTTGATGCTTTGCCCTGGTAGCTACGACTATCTTCTTACCGAAGTGCATTTTGATAAAACAATTGGAGATTTTGTCTGTAAAGTCTTCGCGGGAAATGCATTTGTTCCGATCACGATGAACGCTGCCGCCTTGACAGTTAGCACAATAGCTGTGGAAAGATACTTGGCGCTTGTCAGACCCTTCGAAATTGGTTTAAGACTAACTAAAAACCGACTTCCTTACGTGGTTGCCTTATTGTGGATAGTATCCGTCTCATCCTGCGTTCCTGACTTGTTATCAAATACTGTGGACTCAAATCCTCACTCAGGCTATCCGTGCAAACGACCTTGGAGAATTGACGAATATTATCATCACGAAGGCTTTATAACGTTCACTTCTATTGTCTTTGGAATTGTTCCAACCATCCTTGTAATTTTCTGCTATTTCGAACTTTTCCGTGGATTTTTCATCACGCATACAATATGTGCAGCAGCTTTGCAAGGTTCGAGCAGTCAAGCGTTGGCAGAACGACGCTCAAAAAGGCAGCTCTTTAAGCTTATTTTGTGGGTTATGCTCCTATTTTGCGTTTGCACTTTGCCATTTTCTTTATTCTTTATATATCTAACCACTATCGACAAAGAAACCGCTGCAAGTGACCGCCCTCGCCTGTTTTTAATTCATAAAACCGTTCGGTTTCTTCTGATCGCCAATTCATTTTGGAACCCTCTGATTTACGCGTTTCAAAGCTCAAACTATCGACAGGGATTCAAACGAATTTTCTCCTGTAAACTGTTTCCCCAAAGAAATGCAAGACAACACAAAGATGACAACATAGATAAATAATGCCAACTTTGCCAAGGTCGATTTTTTTAAACAGTTTTAATGAAAAACATCACCTAAATGAATGACAAAGATGAAAGGTAGTTTTGATCATGACAGGTGCTCTTTAGATAAAAACAGACATCTGGAGGAAGAAGAGGATTTCTGACCATTGCAGTAACATATAGTGAAAAAGAAGTCTTTCGATTTCGCTATGTTTTTTTTTTTTAAAAGGCATTTAAATTTAGTTAAATTTCGTCATTTTGCCCCCGGCATGACATCGCCAAACCCAGGGTAGCATACTAGCTAGGAAAACCGGGGACTCTCCTCAGGAATAAATATGAAAAGACGAGTCGTTAAAGAATGTACAAAAATTTTGGAAAGAAGAGAAACAAACAGTTGGCACAAACCTTAACAATGTTATCTGTAGTTTTTGGTTCTTTAACACCAGTTGGAGGAGTCACTTGAGCCGTCGTTGTAAGGTTCATCGAGCCAGCGTTCGTCTATGAGCAAAGAAATACTTCAGTGTTCAAAAACAAGAAGTCTTTTGGAACCGAAAGCATTGAAAGGCGCCTCTCAATTAAAAGGTACCTTAATGAGAGTATTCTGCCAGAGCCGGGACCTTATCTGTATCTTCACATCATCCCCTTTCTTCATTCTTCCCAAGACGCAAGGAACCCTTAGGCACGTCATGGCGTTATCAGATTTGCATGGCTGAAAAGTAATTTCCACAAGTGCTGCATTTACAAATTTTAAGATAATTTTGCAAAAATTATTTTGTTATTGAAATACTGAAAACAAACTGGTAATTTACAATGACTTTCCTAAGTGTTGTTGAGTGCCGTGGTTTAACATTTGCAAAGCTCTCTACTTTTTAATAAAATTTGAAAGCGAGGTTTCCCGCGTTTGGTGTCGACTTTGTACTCTTTATCTCAAAAACTGTGGTTTAAGCTCCACTTTTCGTTTAAAAAAGACAGCGATTTTTCTTACATGCTTTCTATTTTTGCACTGGAACATAAAAAATCTTGTTTCTTACCAGTTCTTCGTTTGTCTGTTCTATTTCTCTCCGCCTTCTTACTTTTGAAGAACTGGACTCTTGTTCACGTTGACTGTTGTTGGTATTCAGCTGGGGAGGAAAAAAAATGAAATTTAATCGAGAATTAGGGTTACTTGCTTTAAGTAAAGCATGCATTGTAGTAAAAAAAAGCTGTTGTATTCTGCTTTTACACTGAAGCATTCACTTTTGATTTTTTTATTCTTTTGTACCATTAGAACCCACAGTCTTATAAAACAAAGCCTACGAGCAGACCAAAACAGGACGCGCGTTTCTCCGCCCGCGTGAAGATTTGCTAGGAGTCTGGCACTAATTATCAGTGCTAGATCCTTTCCAGACCTCTCGGTGGCTGGCGTTGCTCACGGTCTCATTTCTTTCCCGCGGGCGAAGAAGCTTGTGCCGAAGCAGTGATAATGAAGAACTGCTTGCAAGCTATATAAATCTCTAAATACAACTCACCTGAAGATTTAAAGGGTTGCTCTTCACATTACAACTTCCTGCATTTCCGAGAACCTATTGATGTGGTGAAATAAAAAAATAAGAATCTTGAACGAACTCTGACCACATTCTTGGCAAAATTACTTCCGAAGGTTAACCTTCTGAAAGTTTCCGAAGAACAACGACGAGTTCAGCAGTTCACGAAACGTCACGAGGATATTTCGATCAAAATGACTTTGACTTACGTCTACTCCCATCAAATACAGCAAGTAGTTTGGACCTTCCTCCTTGTTATACTTAAATGGAACCTCAATTGTAACCTCTGCATATTCGATAGGACTGGGGCCGTTGTTCCTTACCTAGAATGTAATAACAGGTTCGAACAGGTTTTAAAGGGGCAGTTGCGATAGAAAGCTTATCGATTGTGTGCCTCTCCAGCCATCGAGATTAAAAACGACCAATCACGCATGCGCGCGTTTGTGGGGGAAATGGAAAATATGTTTGACGGGGAATCGTGAGTGATCAAGTTGCAATTGGTTTTGCAGCTGATTGGTTGTGATAGAAGATGACACGATTTTGTTTTACCAATCACAGGGGGTACTGTGGTAAAAGTAAAGCATTCTTGTAGTAATTTTCATCTAGAATGAAAAATGACTCAAGTAGCGAGACTAGGCATCTACGGTAAACTGGAAGTGATAGAAGAATCGCGAATGTGAGCACTGTTGACCAGCGATAATAATAATAGCCTTCTTGTCATTATTATAATTATAATTCAAATGATAATTTTCATTATCATTATTATTTGCATTTTTATCATTGTTATTATCAAGTTTTCAAACTTCCCACAGTGAAAAAGAAGAGAAAGGAAAAATCAGCGACTTACTGTTATGGTCTGCTTTACTGAAGGTCCAATATCAAAAGCGTTCTTGACCTCAGAAACTTTATCCTTGTAGACCACTTGATCTGGATTAGAAAATCTGAAGAGAAAAAAAGAAACGTAATTCTTTTATCTACATTTGGGAGACGATCGGTGGTCAGATATTTTACATTTTATGAAGTTCCCATGGTCAACAGTTAAGCCGCACCTCTTCAAGCTTGGTCGCAGGGGATGATTTTCAGGTAGCTTTTATCGGAAACGCAGCTGTTGACTTGTAGAGTCTTACAGTGCATGTCGTACTTCCAAGTTAAGTTTCTTTTTCTGATAAACCAATTTTATTAAATTCTGGGTCAAGCCTACTTTCAATGTAAAAACAAAACAACAACAACAAAAAATGATCGCATGGTCTAAAAAAAATGACTTATGAGAATGGTTGGAACAGACCAAGCTGATGCTTAATGTCTCGTAAATTTTGAGAGCGGAGAATGGTAAAATGTAACACTTACCCAACAATACTAAGATCTGCTTCAAATTTGACAAGAACTTGGAGACTTTCCTTGTTATTAGATTTGTCCACGTCTTCACTGAGACCACTAAGAATATGAAAATTAGAAAGTCATTATCAAAGAATCGTAGTCAACCACGCTTCAAATTTTGTTTACGTCTGGGAAACCTGGAACATTTCTGTTTGGTTATCGACGAAATTTTGTAAAATAGAAAAAAATGGAAGCGCTAATGATGCTCAGAGAGAATGACGGCAATCCACAAAGAACAAAGTACTGTTGTTTATAGGTGATTAGGATCCGTTAACACAATGTATACCCTCTTCTTTGACAAAAAAGCCCTGGTTTGTATAAGTTACGTACAGTTCAATAGCTTTTCCGCATGTTAAATTACTCACCTTGTAGCCTCAAGATGAATACTAAACTGAGTTATGTTTCCCGTGATTCTTTGGGCGTTGAATATGACATCGAACTGTTTCTATTTGTTTGAAAATAAAATGAAAATAATGCTTGACAGAATAACTCTCCATTTAAAAAAATGTTAATACTGGACCCTAAACATACGTCTTGGGGCAAGTTGATTAATACATAACTGAATAATTGAAGAATGAAAAAAAAATGTCTTTCTCTTTTCTTTATTAGCTTGTGGTTACTTAAGGCTTGTGAAGCTGTAATTCAAGTTCTGGTCAAGTGAAACCGCAATAGATGTCTGAGGCTTTAGCCAAAATTTTTTTATAGTGATATAGAAAAATATATAAATAAAATAAATAAATAAATAAAAAATAAAGAAGAACCTTCATCGGTTAGAAATGAATGAGTGAAAAGGTCAACCAGAGAAACAAAGCGGGTTTAATTTTGAATTAACCACGACGTCAATAAAGAAGGAGATATATTTTTCTCTCGTGCACTTTAGGAGAGACGTACTTTTCTCTTACGACTTTCGAGACATCATTCGTGTACAAGAGAGTTAGAGAGATCATTCCGAACATGTTCTTTGTTTTCAATTTGTTTACCTTAGTATTTCCCCTGAAAGGATTTCCAATGGCGCACTCTGCTTGCCTACTGCCGTCCTCCAACAACTTTGTTGAGCAGGATACATCCTGCCAAAAGAATCAAGGAAGATTATGTTAAAAAAAAAAACCGGAAACAAAGGCAAGCACAAAACAAAAACAAAATAAAACAGACAAATCGTTTACATTCTAAACCTAACAAACAATTAAACAAAAACAAATTAGACCGATCAAGAAGTTTTGGTTATTTTGGTGTCTGTTGTATTCTCTACTCAAGTATAGGAGATTTCTCAACACGATATGGTTATAAATTATATCCTTTCCACTTAATCTTTGGTATTGTTACAATTCTGTGAATTTTCAGCATTTGGTATCAAACCGTTTACAATATAAAGGTACGCTGGTTTCTCACGAGGAAACAACTGGGCACGTCTGTATCCCACTGTTTCCCCCCTGGCCGAGGCCTGACAAAAAATACCAGCAGTTTTAAAACGTCATCGATTTGAAGAAACCCGTTATTAAGGGACGCCAAGACGAACAAGCCAGTACGATAACTCTCACAATCGCGAAAACTTAAGCTATATGTAATTCTCATTACAAAATAATAACAAAGCAATCCGAGCATTATTCGACGATGCTTCGAGCGGTCGACGTTTTCCATTGAGCATACTTAAAACTTTTCCATTTTACATAAGGACGAACCTCACTGTAAGCGTAGTCGATGAGGGATGGATATGTCACCATGACCTTTCCAGGGTAGGCTGCGTCCTGTGCTTTGTTCTCTACCTCTACCCGGACAGTAAGTGTTTTGACATCCCCAATCAGAAGCTCGTTTTGCTTCCTGTGATAAGATAGTGCAATGATAATAAGATAATACTTGCTTCATTTTAACCAATCATAGCACGTATTTTATCCAGTTCATTACATTACAACTAAGCAATCCTCATGGAATCAAAGATAAAGATTTCTTCTTGGAAAATGAGAAATATTTTATCAGTCTCGTCTTAGCGGGGGACAAACCGATCCAAAATGGAGAGAGTAAGTATCAGTGAGACTAAAATTGAAATTTTTTTTTCGTCTGGTGGCCATGTTTTTAAATTTTGATAATTTGTGTGATATGATGAGACAAATAGCGAATATGGAAAAAAAAGATGTCTGGTGTAATAATTAAAAACCCTATTGTCATAACCTTAAATAGCGTATGACAGACAGTAAGAAGAATCCAAATGGTAAGGTCGATATAAAACTCACCCGTCGCCGTATATCAGTGATCCTTTGATAGCTAAGTCTGGTTGACAGATTTTGTCGTTTCCACATTGCTTGACAAAGCCTACCTGTAAAAAGTTAAAAATAATTAACGTTACTTAACATAGAGACAGCGCGGCTGCAAATAAATGCCAGGCTGAAACATATATGGTTTTCTTTTTCATACACTTACTGTGGCTCTAAAAGACCGCTGAGCAATGTCATTGTGGTCGTTCAAAATCGGACAAAGTGTACAGGACGGTGACTGAGAAAGATCGTAGGTCAGATCAAATGTTAAAGGATCAAACACGTCCTGGAGTTGGTCCTTTTCCTGAGGAAAAAAAAGCTTTTTTTTAATTACATTATGAGTAAGAATTAACTCAGCAAGGGGGGTTAACTAGTAAGTTCATTAAAGATAAAAAAAGTCACAAATTGCCAAGAACTGATGAGCGTCAAAAGTAAGAGAATTTCAGGCAGCTCCAAAAAAAAGCACTTTGAGTTTTAAGCCATAAAAAAGGGATGATCGCTACAAACTTGTTAAAGCAACTGAGAGTCAAAAATAATCCAGGATTGCACTTGATGGTTTATTTCACCATGCTACTGACGTCATACAGTAAACTAACCAGATGCAAAACTGGTTGATATTTTGGTTTCATTCGCGCTTCATTGTTTCCTTGTGTTGTCGACTTTTCTTATGACGCGCTGCGGTAATTACCCTAAGATTTGGCACTCAATCATATAACCACTTTAATGCTTAATTAAGAAGTCAACTTGATCTTAGAAAACGTACCCTGAGGTATGCTGTGTCAACTAACTGGCAATGCCATTCATTCTGCTTCGTTAATACTACGTGCCGTGTGATAGAGAATGTAGTTTTGCCTTCTTGGAAGAAGAACATCCGGCGAAGATCGAAACCGTCTGTGAAGCGATCTTTGTCAAGTTCGACTGAGAATGAGACGTTTGGCTGACCTGATTTGATATAGAACGAAAAAATGAAATTGTCTTTAACAAGGTGATGGATAAATCGGTAATCAAATCATTTTAAAAGTGACTCAACGTATGCAGAGTCAATTAATTTTCGGTTATAATGCTGTAAAAGAACAGATACAATTTTTGCTGGCTAACTAATAACTTGTCGGTGGCCAGTCGGTTATCTGTCACTCGAGATATCCAAGCCGAAATATTGTGGTATCAATCCATTTCAAAAGTGACCAAACGTATGCAGAGTAAGTTAATTTAGGTATATTGCTGTAAAAGTACAAATACAATTTATGTAATGGTTAACTGATAACCTCAGTTGTCGGTAGCGTGTCGGTAGCGCGTCGGTGGCGTTTCGGTGAACTGTCGGTCATCTGTAGGCTGACACTTTGCCGATAGTCGGCTCACAGCTTATTTCAGGGAGATGTTCTACACAATTACCCATAAACCATAGAAGTATGATCTAAATGCAAAGAAACTTCAGGAACTTGAACGAGAAGAGAGAGGACAGGTAGACAGACAGACTCAGGAGAGATAGACAGACCGTGAGACAGCCAAACATACAGTCAGACAGACAGACTAAAAAACAAAAACAGAAGGACAAACCGACAGACAGACTGCCAGGGAAGAACTGAATCAGGCAAGAACCAAGGCGGACGGACAGATAGACAGACAAGTTGAGTTGCACACAAACAAACAGAAAGAAACGATGAGACAACCTACCAAGGGACGGCATTTGATTCTTGTATTTCAAGCAAACAGTCACATTGATACTGCAACCAAAAAAGTCAAATTAAAGTAAAGATTTTTTTCGCAATTGTATTTTCAAGTTATTTCTATCGAATTCCTTGTCGATTGAAGAGGATACGTCAGAGTAACCATTAAATAATGAGCTCAGTTCCATATTTCAAATTGCTGATTTCAATTCCATGTTTAATCTTTTCCATCCGCGGCCCTCTGTTTCCTTTTTCTCTCCGGTGTTTGGCCACTCTCGAATAAAATTATTTAAGGCTTTTACAACAATTCTCAACGAGCTCAACCTCCAACACACCCTCCCCTGGTGAAAAAGTACCTTTTTCGTGACACGCCGTCTGCTGCTAGCTGCACAGTTTTATTGTCTTCCAGTGAAATTTGAGTCACACTCAGTTTAAGTTCACCTTCCATCTCTACAATTGGTCGTGATCTATCGAGTAAAAAGATTTAGATCATTGGTATTAAATTTAATTACACAGTGCAATAACTGAATATTTTGAAAGTTTTCTTATCTTTTACGATTTTTTTTTGCAGATCAAGTTTCAATTGCACAATGACAGGAGCGCGAAAAAAAAGTTGCCTGTATTTGCGTTAAAGACGCAAAAAAATTACGCGTGTTCTGCAGGCCCAGCACGGGTGTATAAGGCTACTGGCAAGATCACCCTATGAGTATTGCTTGTCATTTCTGTGGAATGCCAAGTGTCCTGATCAGTCCAGCTACGACAGGTGTTGGTTTGGCATTCCGTTGATCAAGATATACACTTTTTGAGATTCTTGAGATATGGAAATGAAATCCGTTTAGTTTTACCTTAGAAGGAAAGCTCTGTCAGAAGAATAAGCACCGACAGCGAGATCTGTGCAGAGAACGGAACATTAACAAAAATGGTGAGAAGCACGTTGTGAGGTAGAATATTCGAGTCAGGTTGGTCATCATAAGACAGAAGAATACTCGTCACCAGCTCTCCTGTTTGTGCTTACATAAGGAGAACTACAAAAATTTTCATTGGACTTCTAAGTACATGGCGGGCTTCTAGGTACGTGCAGTTAGTTTTTACTATGGTCTACTGGCATTCCTTTTTAAAAGTAGTTATATATGGTGACTCTTAAAGAATTATAGGAAAACCTTGCCCGTGAGATTCTCATTCTGTTCTAAATAAAACAATTAAGGAATCTATGACGTCCTAAAATCTCACATGCACAGTCACTGTTCTCATAGTTTACTCTATTGCTGCGTTACGATTTTTTTGCCTTCCCTGTTCCACCAAATGAAAGTCCCACCACCCCGGTGTACAAGAAAACCTGGTGTTTTTTATTTACCAGAGGACATCAATAAAATGCTCAAATGGGCAAATTCACGCGATCCGACTGACCTGGATAGCCATTGTTATCCACATCAACATTACCCGCCAGAGAAAATCCAAACGTCTTCACTCCAACAGAAATGTCGGATGCCTCAATTGCCTGCGTTGAGTGAAAATAGTAATTCAATAAAATAGATGCAACATTCGGTACTGTTTTTTTTATGACCTATGGTAAGACGCCGTTAAAATAATTTACCTGTCTAAACGAACTTTCAATGCCATCTTTCGTGCCGAAGTAGATAAATACAACACCTCCTCGATCTTTACCGCCATACGGTGCACTTATTGCAACATCTGTTTTTGAAAAGGAGATGGAAAAAATAAGGTTAAAAGGTTGTTTCATGTGAATCCAAAATATATCTTACAAATCCAAATCTTTTTCTTGTTGGGTTGAAAAATAAGAAACATCTTACAAGACAAAATAGTAGTGAAATTCAACACAGAATCAAAATGAGGTAATTTTTGTTCAACTGTGGTGAATATTTGAATCTGCGACCGCCATCTAGACTGAAAAAAACCGTTTCTATGTGGCGTAAAAGCACAAGTAATATCGGCCGAGGATTTCCGCTGAACGTTACTCCGAGTAACAAAATTTCTATCGCGCTTGCAATTTATATCAGGGTAAACTAAAATTTTGAAGTCAAAGATCAAGTCAAAAATCCTTCATCAAAACCTTCATTTATTATCCACGCCGAGTGTTCTCACGACCTACTTCAAAAAGTGCGTGCCTGAAACTATAGCTCAGACTCTTTTTCCATGTTGTCATCCGCCATTTAGAATTTTGATGTAGATTGTCGCTGTATTTTCGGTTCCAGACTCCCTTTCCCCGCTTCCCATTTCTGTTTTTAGTAACATTCGATTTCCTCTCCAGTAAAGAAAGTTTTTTGCCGTCTACCTGTAAATCCATCCCTGTTTAAGTCTCCTGCGACAGCCATCGCGTACCCAAAAAGAGATCTCATCGTTTTTCTCCCATCCAGTGTCATGGATTCCTTATGATTAAGAGTCCCAGGGGTCTGAAACACAAACAAATTGATTACATCACAATTCGATGACTCAGCTGTCAAATGTAGAGCATGCGCAAGTAGATCAAAATTTCAATCAACGACCGCTGTCACGCAAATATTACGTTTAAAACTTACCTTTCCGCTATTCATGTAAGTATAAACTCTTCCTTCATCTCCGTATTCACTGTGCCTGTAATAAGGAGCACCTACCAACAAGTCGGAAAAACTGCAAAAAATTAAATCAGAATTGATTGTTATGGCTTTATCGGCTTAATCGAAGAATGAATTCACCTGACAAAGAACATTCCTTACCCGTCATTGTTTAAGTCCACAACACAAAGGGATTGACCAAAATTGCTTCCCAACTACGAAACAAAACAGAACAAATAGAGAGATGAGACAATCAGCTAAAATTAAGAAAATACAAGGAAGCTGTGTTTTAGATCTTAGGGCAAGGTGATGATCTGCCTTAGAGATTCTACCGTCCGTGATTGAATCCGTATCATTTCATTAACTTTAAATGTGATGTAACGACTCGGTTATCGTTTTTAAATTTTTCTTTCCATTCAATTTAAGCAATGAAATGAATCTTTCGCCCCGCAGAATTTTTCTTTCCGTACATGTTTCTCATACACTCAACTGCGTGCGAAAACTTTGCACAGTTAAAATCTCTCCGAATGTGTTGAATATAATTCGACACGGAGACTTTCACTTATCGGAGGAAAGGTTTTTAAGATTCAAGTTGGGATATCACCCATGTGTATGTCCTATGTACTCCATCGTCGTACATGGGGCATACTTAGTCTAATGATTGGGTTTAACTTACACCAATCGCGCGCGAGCGATTTTATAGCATTGATTTTTAAATTAATTGTATTCTCTTTTGTTGGCGGTGATGAGTACCTGAGCAGTTGCGGGCAAAGGAAGAGTAAAGCTGACGGACGTATCAAAGTTGTCCGTGTTCACATCAAATGCTACAACCTGATAAAAAACAAAAAAAACATAAAATCACATAGACGTGAATGTCTGTCGTCCCCTCTGTTTAAAACTGTGATTAGATTACCAAAGTAGAAGAGAAAATCGGAAAAAAATATATCCACAGTTCTGTCAACACAGAAACCGTGATAAACTACAGTGAACTCACATGCCTTAGTGCGCCAGTCAGGAATCGAAGTGACAGTATGCGACCCAAGTCAAGCGCGGAAAAAACAGGTCTAAAGATGCGCAGCACGTACCGATCAAATCAAGAAAACCGTATCTTCCTTCAGTTAAGATGGGATCTGTGCTTTATTCAAAATTAGCTGTTCAATTCTTGACGATAGGACTTTTACACTAATCATTAAAAAGATACTTAATGTTCTGTACCTTTCCCAGGAGATTATTAGCTCGCGTCGAACTCGCCAGAAACTCTGGATTATGAATGAAAATAAAAACAAGAAAACAAGCAAAAGTTAGATCATGTTTCTAATTGGCAGTGTTTTCGCCAGTGTGTGTCACCGGTTTAACAAGAAGGCGCTTTTAATCTAAATTGGATAACTTAATCTTTTGTTTTTATATTTCTAAGTCATACTGTAATACAATGGATGTCAAGCGCTTAGAACGCATGCGGATAAGCGCTATATAAGTGTTAAGTGTTAATGTTAAGTGTTAAGGCATTCAACAGACTTTCATATGTGATGGAACTTCATACCTTCTCTTCTCTTATTTTGAGATTTGAAATTTCCAATTCCAACGGCGTAACCTAAAATGCAAATAAAATCGTGAATTAATCGCCCAAATTATTCGCGAATTGTAACTTTCCTCAATTCCTTCTAAGGGGAGTCGGAAATATTGGGCCTGCGTTGAATAAGACTCAATATGGTACTACTACAAGGGTTTGTAATCACCGTGACAAATTTCAGTAATTGAGGCACATAACTAAGCCGTCTTAACTCGAAAGTAATACAGGATTAGATGGGTTTGCTACACTGCACCCTGTGATTGGTCAAATGTACCCGCCTCACCCTCTCAACCAATCAAATGCCAAAACCAGTCGGGACTTGGACCCTCGTGCTTGCGCGCGCTGGAGTCATTCGCGAATTTACTTAGGATCTTATTTGCTTTTTGGCGTATTTTCTTTTGATTTGATTAACCAACGTAACTACTTAGGTTTTGGATTTTTCGATGCAAAAATGTTAAAAATATAAAAAAAGCGATTGTCCCATTTAAACTCACCCAAAGCGCTACCACTGCTAAGATCAGGATACAGAGCTGAAAAGGTTCTTGCAGAATCTTGAGTATCAGAATAGAACACTGAGATTGATCCTAATTGGGAAAAAAAGGTAGAGATGTACTTTTAGATACGTACCGTGATTGAAGGTTACAACAAATGTAAAGCCATTTTCGATATTTACAAAAAATTGGGGTATTTGAACAAAATTTCAGCCCCGGGGGCTGGAATTGAAACAAACCCATCCTCAAAAGTTCAAATACCTGGGGGTTGCTCAGGGGGGAGGGCGGGGAATGTCGAAGCTTCGACTTGATCGACGCATTATGGTTTCATCTTAAGTAGTAGTTTCAAAGATGCACCGTTAATTAAGAGACTTCAAATAATATAAAACATAACTCAGTGCATGTGAACACAGACAAATTCAAAAAGGACTCGCTCTGTTTTCACGGTTCATTTCTCACAGCACCTTAACGTGGGAATTTAATCTTCACAGATAAATGTCCTGACAGGAAAATCTAGGCTTCGAAAGGTTCTGAACCTGTACATCCGAGATACTAGTTGGGCGCTATTACCATAGAGCAAATTTGTAAGGGTTAGATTTTAATGATCAGATCTCTCATTAGAACCAAGAACCTATTAAAACTTGCCTCACTCTAAACAGAAGTTTCGTTGCTCAATTAAAATAATAAATATAACGTATATCAGAAACGCATATGGTTAATGTAGACCTCACCATTCAATAAGTATCTCCCGGGAGCACCCATAAGCACAGTTAACCCATCCTGTGACAGAGCAGCACTAAATCCAGCCTCACACGCCCCTTCCTTATTTGCGTTGTACTGATCGCTATAACCATTGTCTAAATTGGACAAAAATGAAAAAAGATCTTAATAACACTGCTCACACTCTGGTCTCAAATAATCCATACTGAAACAATGAGGTCAGTTGTTTATCTTTATATACGCACTACCGTGCTCGCTCAAGCGAAGCAGAACTGTGCTAACTCTTCATTACTCTTGGTAAGCAGCGTTTATTAAAGTGAAAATTTCTGGTCATCCATCGTCCCTGTAAACGATGCCTAATGTAATAAGTTGAGCAAATGATAAATATACTCACCGCCGCGATAGCATGGCCGAATACCGTCCGACGTTCTACCAGACAAGTCATTTCTGACTAGAAAACATTTTCCCAACAGTAACTTTCGTCTATCTTCAGGTCTAGCGTCAGGAATGCGCGCAACCTCTCCACGGAAAGTGTACTTTGGTGCACAGGCCTAGGAAAACAAAAAGGTTATCTTTAACGGACGAACAGGGATGTTGTTCGAGATTTTGAATGAAGTCTCTACATGAAACTAATTTGGAAATGGCTCACGGTTTTTTCACTTCTACACAGCACCACTTTAAAAAGGATTTTAAGGCTTGTCGGTTTTTTTTTTCAAATTTTTTAAATGGACTTGAATCATGGATGACAAAGTAATAGATTGACTGGTTATGAAATTCGGTTTCTTAGCATGAAGCAAAAATAGCCTTCGTAACATGCAAGAGGGGGGAGGGGTGGTACGAGAAAGGTGACAAAAAACATGTCGGAGCAGGGACTGGAAAGATGAAGACTGGGATAAACCGTTACTCCTCAGAGAGGGCAAGAAAATTGAGTTTAAACCTACGATCAAACGTTCCTTTTCTACTAACGCGAAAAGCGCATCTCCTTTGAAAGTATCGTATTATTCGTGCTGAAAAGAGAGCAACACTTGATTCTAGGCTAGTTGTATCTGAGAACTTTCAAAACGCTGGCCAGTACGTACCAACAATGCGCCGTTGTCTTGGGTAGGTATGCTGTCCAAAGTTGCTCCAAGCATCTGGCCGTTTTTCTCTTCTAAATTCGCCGTAAGGGTGACGCCATTTTCATCTCTCCAATAAGTTATCAAAGGATCTGTTAAAATAGATTTACAGTAAATCAAATGCTAACAGCCTTGTAGTGGTAACGTCTTTCAGCGATATGCTAGTCTCCAATCTTTGCGCGGTATCAGCTAGTTTTCGCGCCATTTAATAATCAGTCAGAATTTTTCCTTGAGTGTCTCTATGTCGTTTCGTAAAAGAATCCCAACCGTCAGGTATGTTCTTGTTTTACTTTCTTCGTTTAATTTTCATTTACCTTGTTTGTTATCATTGTAATTACTGTTATCTAAATCATTTTTTCATGTATTTCAGATATCACTGGTTAAATAATAAAAATATGTCAATTTATCGGTGCATTCGCTACACTAATCCCTTCACGATGTCGGCTCAATCACATTTGGTCCTCCTATGAGCCGTGACCTCACAGAGAAGCTCTCACTTATCCAAGACTGCGCACAGATAATAGCAAAATGAAACTGCTGGGTACCAGGCTATATACAGAGAATATCGCATCCTCAAAAGCCGCATTACAAATTACGATCAAGAACTGGTAAGTGTCTGACTGTCAAAACTCTTTAAAGAATAGCTTCTCCGTGGTTTCAAAGGAAGTTGAATGAATGAATGGAACGGACGACAAAGCGCGAGGCGATCATGGTTGTTAGTTGTCAGTTGTCAGTCATAAACCAGAAGACCGAAACACCAAAACATGTAAGTTCTCACACATTTCCTAATCCTAACCCCTCAGCGGCTTTGTCACTACGTTTCACAGGGCACACAAAAGCACCAGCAACGGTGACTTCTTCACAGGCTATGTAGAAAGTACTTACTGCTGTTGTCAATCGTTATAACTTGACATGGATTTGACTGCGAATTTGAACTGCATTTATACACACTTCCATAACCAGTTCTTTCAGTGTCTCCTGACGTTTTGTTGCCAAATGGTGCACCCACAATTACCCTATAAATTAAAATAATACATTGACGTTTCATTAGTAAATCAAAGAAGGCGCCAACTTCAATTGTTTCTTTTCTTTACCTTTGTCTCCCTCTACCACTTACTTCCCGCGGGCGTTGTGTTTACATTCTCCTCGCATTAGGGAATCAGGAAATTTCTAACTATCTCTAATAGTGGGTTGGGCGAAGAGGTTGAAATATTGGCTTCTGTTCCAAAATAACTCCTCTAATTTTTTAACTTCTATAAATGGTCACATATTATTCATTCCATGAAAGTCTGCCAGGGGCTTTTTGTATACTACCGTCTCGATGAAGTAATCCAAATGTATCATGATCGTGCATGAATTATATGGACACATGGACATGGTGATTTTATACCGACTCGAATATCAAAGAATGGATGAGATTAACGAGGTTTACTGAGGAAAGAAATCAGTGAATAAAGAATGACTCGTCAATATCGTTATCTTTTGTATTTTATGCGCATTAATCTACAGATATGATAGCCGTGACCACAGACACATGCAACACCTTATGAAATGAATAACTCATAAAATTAAGTCAATTTAGCAGAATCACGATTCATAAAATTGAGTTTTCACAAACCAACTAAGTTTCCTAGGCAAAAAGCTAAATCTGAGTTGTACCTGGCCGCAAATACGCAAAATCGGGCAATTCAAAACAAACAGGAGAGCTAACACTTGTTGCTTCTCTTTATAATTACAATTATTGTCCTGAAAAACTGTTTTCCGTCAGTGTTAATTCACTTGAGAAGACAGGCTCGACAAAGGTCGTTAAAACTTCAACGTTTTTTCAAGTATAGAGCCTTAAGACTAGAGCTCGCGGTAAAATTTCCGCACAGCCCCATACTACATTATGCATTCAGTTCTTGGATAGAGAAAACAATGAATAAAACAATACATCGCCATTGGGAAAACAGATTTGTTTTACAATAGTATGGGGCTGTGCGGAAATTTTACCGCGATCCAATCGATTTGATAAATATCGCGATCTCAGTTGGTGTAATCGAGTGATAAGTATTCAAGGTTTTCCAAACAGTTCATCTTTCAACATTCTGTCACGTTCTACTTGAGAGATGGTTATTGAAGCGTTAGGGAGAGCTAACAAACGAAATCCATAACATTTATTATGATCACCAGAACTTCAGTATCATGTGATTACTTTACTCACCTTGACAAACTTTTCAAATTGAAGATTGTGACTTACCAATTTCCTACAGCTCTCTGCCTGTGTAGCACAACAGTATATCCAAAATATTCCCCGGACGTGCCCTTATAGATGAACGGATCTTTTACATCCAAATTAAAAGCAAAAACTCTTGTCAAACACACAATAACAGCCAAAAATACAAAGCGACTGCGAGTCATCGCCAAAAGTCTGGAAAGCCCAATGCAAGAGCTTAAAAAATGCATTCAATAACGTAGTAAACTTCGCCAAGCAGTCGCAGTCAGAGAACGTCTGCCTCACGTGTAATGTTATAGGTGCAAATGTAAATTAAAAGTGTTTATATTGCTTTTCAACGTGAATTCCAATGACCTGTGTCACATTCACAATCGTGCTCAACCGGAAGCGGAAGTTATACATCACAATTCATTGAAACTATCTGTGTTCGAGAAAATTGAACTATGAGTTGACACTCAGACGCTCTTAAAAATTATTATTTTTTTATATACTGTTTGTCATCTTCGTTATTAGTGCGATCGATGAAAAATATTCATGGCTGGATTTAATTTTCAGATATCAAATGACCGTAGAAATTTGTTTAAAACGTTTTTTGGTAACATCTCCTTCACATTTCAAATGACTGTAGTAGTTTATTTAAAAAGCTTTTTGTTCCAAAGTACTTAAATTTTTTACTCCTCCCCTCGAGGTTAATTCTCTTCCATGTTCAAGACCTTTTGTTACAATCGTGAGTACAAGTGCATGGTCACTTCCGGTTATGTCGAAACGTCACTTCCGTTGTCGTCATGTCAACAATAACGCCCTCGTAGGTAACTTTTAGTACTTTTTTCCTCCTCTCACTCAGTTTTCAGCTCTATTTTGATCAGTTAGCTTTCTTTCTCGGAACTAGAGGAAAGACCAATTTCATTTAGTAAGGGCCGGTTAGGTCTCAATTCCGGAAATATTGACCTTAAATCTCTGAATGAACGAATTTGGGAAAAACTCCGCCACTCACAGTAAATTGATGTTTTCTCGAATTGGGGTTAACGTCACTGACAAGTCACCAAAAATAAAGAATATCGTGTTTAAGTTTAAAAAAAGTTTATTTAAATCATGGCCTATAAATGAGGTATTTTTTTTTATTACATACTGCAATTAAATAAACATTACTTATAAAAATAGCATTTGTCGTATTTCACGATTCTTTCAAAAACCCTAGTAAGAATAACAACATCAGCACTTCACACTTAAAAAAGCTATCTATAAAATCTGCTACATGATTTTCTACAAGAATTCAATTATGTGCGTTGATCATATGGACCAAATGAACAACTGCTGATAACTAGGGTTATCAGCAGTTGTTGACCACACAAACTTATTTTAAAATTCAAACTCCTTGAAAGCGAAGATTGTGTAAGTAATATTTATTTGAGTTTTCATTCATCGCGAAGGTCTCCAAGTTTCGTTATTCACTAAAAACAGTTCCTTGTAAGTGTTTCGTTATGGTATAATGGTAAATAATTTTGTTTTTTTAAAAAATTGGATTCTAGCTAACAAAGTTCCCTTTCCCGAGTGTTCCATGAATATAAAAATACGCACTCTACATGACGTTCAGTTCTGAGGTACTCGGGCCTGAGATGTCTTTTATTCGTTTTCTCTTGAAAAATCCACACTAAAAGGGAAATAAAACAATATCACAAAAGAAATTAGAGAGCTTTAAACTGTAACATTGAACTATTTACATAAATATATATAAATTACGTAAAATAACGTAATTTTTGTGCTTACTCAATGTTAACTGTGTCTTTTGGTTTCAACCATCCTGACTTTAATTGACTTGAAACTGCTTTGGCAGGTTTTTTTTCAGACCCAGTTAAAATAATACATAGCTTCGCTTTTTTGACACAGCATTTTAAGCGGAAGCATACAGGTATTCTAAGAACTCCTGTCTGGTTTGTCGCATATCATTGGATTAAAATTACCATTTTTAATTAGTCAGTTTAGTTTAGAGTTATGTCTGGTATAACTAACTAGGACCAGACAAAGTTTACGGTTTTTTTTCTCGTAAACAGTTCTGCAAAAACTCGAACAGCCTTTAACGCACACAGATTAGAATGAACCATGACCAGAGCAAGCCGGAATGGAACCAGAAAAAAACCGGTTCATCCGGTTTAAATTCCGTGTTATCAGCTTCATTGGAGTGTCGTTTAGTCTACAGTAAATGGCACAGGTTCATGAAACGAGTATTTTTTTTTTCTCTACCTACTTACGGCAGTGAAAGGCAGATATTTTATATTCAGTGAATAAAATGTTACACTGAGGCTTAAACAAAGCAACTAAGAGACGAGTTGCTTATAGTGATTTACGTGAAAAGTGGGGAAAGATTCGGACTAAAACGATAATGTTCAGTTCATGCATCTAACGTCACGGTGGGTGAGATGTCGTCACATTTGGTCCTTACTCTGACGTCACGCAAGTCACGCAAGTCACGCTCATTTTGTTAGTGCCATTGGTTCTCTCTCTTCCATAGGACCCGAGATATCTTTTATACGTTTCCTTTTGAAAAATCCACACTGGAGAAAAAGGCAAAAACATTCACAAGGCAGAAAATTCAAAAGAAACAAAACACGCGAGGTGAAGTCACTGGAAAGTGAAGCGAGAATGGCAGAGTGAAGTACAGTGGTACGATGCAGATGAAATCCATGCAGACTGTGGTTTAAAGGTGCTCGTGGTTATGACGCACAACAAAATGATATCACTTTTGTTGACCAACCAAAATCCAGCAGTAGATTAATCCAGTGATGCTTAGCTTTTAACGATAGTAACAGCGATACATGGCCTCCATAAAGCTTTGTTCACACAAGCCCTTCACCGGACACAAGTTGTTTACAAACATGTATAAACAAACACAAACCCTTCACCACTACCAAATATTGTTTACAAGCAGCTTAACAAGACCAAGACTAAACAGGCTTTCTTGTTTGAAGTTTCATATTTACACTGAAACCTTCTTCTTTTATAGCTTATTCTAAACTTTTATTTAACCAAACTAACAACTAAAAGCACCGTACATCCAAAAAGTAAGAGGTTGAGAATTACGAAATTCCACGCGGAACGTTATGAATTGTGTTGAATTGACGTGCACGTGATCAATGAGGACGAAAAAGAGTTACCCACAACACATGTATCATTTGATTATAGTTAATGATTAGTTCAATCATCATAGTTAATGATTACTTAATCATGTTGCTGTAAGTTACAACTATTAGTTCACGAAGCATTAGCAATTACAGCTACCGTTTTTAGTTTGGATTCGGGAGTAAAATTGGATCGCGTAGTCTGATCGTTCGGTTGAGAGTAGCTGTGAGAAGGACTGTTATCGATAATAGTGGGACGATCAGAAAACGTCATCCGCATGAGCTTCGGCGGTGAACGACGCAAAAAAAATTATTCTTCTTGTAAAACTCGCTAGAATCTAACGGGATTCTTTTACAGGTCTAGTTGTTAGCAATTGCTCTAACTGGGATCTGACGTGGCAAACCCAAAGACTTGATGGAAACTAAGTCTTAGCATGGCCTTGTTCCCGAGTATTTCTCGTCCAAATTTATTACACGAAGCGCTAGGAATCTACCGAAAAAACACGTCGAAGGCAAAGAAATACACGACTTATTGAAGTGGGCCAATTTTTTTCTACCACCTTGAAGAGAAACATTACTCATGATGATAACGCACGAATTTCTCATGCAAGTGATAATCGAGGTTTGGACACAAACACCGTCCAACTGCTTTGGTTAATTCGTTGTTAGGGCCCGTTTAGGCCAGCAATCATTAGTTATACTTCGTGTGTTTCCTTTGCGGCACCAAAATCATTCTAAGTCACCAATAAAATCATTTTAATCGTCAATAAAATCACTTGAAAGTACTTGAGGAAACTCAATTTCCTTACTTTGTACAGGCCTGCGACGACCCCGCCCACCAAGAGAACACCACCAAGGACAGAGAGCAAAATCACCCACCAGGCTACCTTCTTTTTCTGTGCCTCGGTCTGAGCTGGTTTGGCTGTTGTTATAATCTGTGACACAGAGATATAAGAGCAGTAAGTCACGTTAGCTGTCGTTTAAATCTGTGACACAGAGATATAAGAGTAGTAAGTCACGTTAGCTGTCGTTACAATCTATGACACAGAGATCTAAGAGCAGCAAGTCACGTTGGCTGACGTTATAATCTGTGACACGGTGATATAAGAGAAGTAAGTCACGCAGTCACCAAGTCTACCATAGATCTGTAAATCTGTAAGGAAAGTACACAACTTCAACAAACTTCTGTAAAATAAAAATTGCACTCCTAAGCTACCGCAAATGCTGAACTCTGTCCTCTGAAGGGGCTCCACGCAAACAGACATTTGATTTAAGGTTTTTTAACTCCTTAGGAAGCTACACAGTGCGAAACAACTGAAAACTAGCATAGAAGATCGATTGGGCGGCGACACGATACGAAATACAGCCACAGACATTCAGCCGACACCAGTAAATTGATCCGAGTCGTAATTAAGTTCTACTCTGGAGGCAGGTAAGTTCAATTTGAAACAGAGCGTTGTCTCATCCATGACCTAGACGCCGTCACTTCGCCTGTCATGTTCTAGGGTGGCAAGCGTATAGATACACAATGTATCACATGAGTTTGCAGTTTTCTTCCCTGTACGTACCGTAACCTGGTCATTGTTCAGGTTTGGCTGAGTAATTATACTGGGAACTTTTATCTTGGCTGTGGTCTCGAGGTCAACGGCTTTGGGTGGATCGAGTTCCTGCCAAAACAAGTTCATGGACATAAAATTTAAATTCTTCAAAATAAAAATACCAAAAGGACACTCAAGTCTTTGCGAGCTTCAAGTCCCTCATCGGCTCAAGCGTTTGACAACTGAAGGGCATTTTGGTGGGTATGTGTTGCTGAGGTCTCCAGCTTTGCCCCTTTTACAACCAAATCTCTATGCCACACCCTTTTAAAAGTGCACGTTCCTTATTGTTCAAGCGAAGAAGCATCATCCCCAGTCCATGAGGCTGACGACCCTACTCCATAGCAAATACTCTCTCAGTATTTCTTTTACCAAATTTTCAGAAATTTTTTATTCGGTCTCGGATTATTGCTTTTGCTCCTGGATGGACAGAGGCTCTGTGAGAATATAATGTCACGCCCAAGAAAACAAAAACTGAACACATAATGGGATGCTCTTCTTATTTGAAAGTGAAGGCAAACCTTGATGAGAGTGTTTATCCATAGGCGGAAAGTCATCTTGATATCCACCTTGTCACCTAACTTCAACTGACCCAGATTGCAAGAGAATGAGCTGCAGCTTGCGGTGCGGCAGCCCTGTAAAGTTATCGAATAAAAAAGGAAAACACGATTAATTGGAGGAAATACTTTGAAGATTTCCAGAAGATTCCAGCCTTGCAATAAATGATTTTTTCTTTCTTGAGGAGATTCAACTGTGTCGAGCTGTTTCAGTGAAATTTGCTGTACTTCTAAGACGATAACAAAATTATTTAGCTTTAAATGCGTCTATCGCGTTTGGACGCAAGCCAAGAAAACTGCCTAGGGAAAATCAACCACAAAGATCGGCTAAAAAAAATATGAATTAAGAAGAATTTGGAGATTTAACTATCCTGAGAAGTTTACTTACCAAAATCGTGTTTTCTGTGTCACGCCGTTTGCGTGATTGCTTGTTATCCACTGATTCATCAGTGGAATTAGACTCCTGAAGGAAAAAGTTCGACAAAAATTTAAAAGATATTACACAGATTGAGACAATGTCAAATGTTACTGATTTCACTACCTGATTTTTCAACGTCTTTAAACGCACCATCTTCCGCTAAACGTTAGTGTCTCATTCAAAATTTTCGTTCTTTACATTTTCTTATTTCCTATTTGAATTTAACATCTAAGACCTGTAGCCGTAATACTAACAGATCAGGGATTATAAGCCCCATCCAGCATTTAGTTTATTTAGCTGCGACTATGTGAAATTCGATGACAAAACCTACTGCAAAGTTACCAACATTTCTTACAATACACGTGTAGAGTTGGAACGATTATCATACGCAGGGAACGACTGGTCAGTCCGAAACATTCATGGAGAGAACTAGTCATTCATCAGAACTGTACATGAGTTATTTTCTAACTTTTGTCTTCTATTCTGATTGAATTTTACAGTCTTGTTTTTTTGGTGTCTATTCTTTTGCTTACCTTGAGGCCCAAAGGGTTGACCTTCGCATCACACGTCCCTGAGGCACCTTCAAGCTGCAGGCAAATTAATAAAATAATATTCAATAAATGAATATATTTGCAGTTTTAAAAGCAGACTACCACCGCGTGACTTTTCCATGAATGGATGATCTACCTACTTAAACAAACATACGCGTAGAGATGACGTTTCAAAAGTCAATTGGAGCTATTAACTTACTTCAACGTGTATAAGATAGAGCAGGTAACTTTTGGGGTCCGACGATTTAAACAAACTGGGAAAATTGACGGTAACTCTCGTCCCATCAACAACACTCGGACCCCTGTTCCGAATCTGCAATCAAGAAGTTAAAATGGGCAGTTAAAAGTCATGTTATTCCGACAGGCTATCAAGTATACAGTTGCAATTCTGAAAGAAGACGTTTCAATGAGACTATGATGAAATTGTTTGTCAACATGGTATTTGTAAGAATCCACTGGATGGAAGGTCGAACAGAGAAGAGAACAAAAGAGGAGAACAAGGGTAGGAGGAAAGATGTCTCTTACGACAACCGCCATTGAGAGAGAAGGCACCATTGAACAGTAATGATCATGCATCCATGCGACCACAGAGTTCGGTGGAAACCCATGTGATTGGTGTGGTGCAAAGCGCGGGAAAATGTAAACGGTGCGCTGCCAAGTGCGGGAAAATATGACTCGGGTGCCAGGTCCCGATTCTTTATAAAAATACCATGCATTTTAGAACAATTTACAAGCGAGTGCAGAGAGTAATCTTGGACTGCTTCAGTTTCCTTTACTGTACTCTGTTATTGGCCAAAAAACTCGCGCCACTTTCTCGTCCAATTGGCTCGTTGTGATATTTTTCCTTTTCAGCGATTGGTCCTTGTCACTATTTCGATTTTGGATTTACGACCCTCAATCTAAAAGCGCTCAAAATATGAATTCTCATCAGCTCCCTGCGATATTTTCTCTTCATTAGATTGGTCATGGTCATTATTTCGATTTCGGTTCCTACGACACTCAATAGGAAAGCGTTAAAGAAGAAGGAAAAATAAAACCTAAGTACCGTCAGCGTTGTGATCACTTCTGGCCCAATCGACTCCAAATTGTTTATGTCGTCTTTCACAGGTCCTGTATATACCACTTGATCTTGTTTAGTTGACCTTGAAATGATACAAGAAATACATAAACAAACAAGTACATTAATAAAATAAAAATAAATAAATATGTACATAAAATTATAATATCAAAAAAGATCTCTTTCCTCATCTCATAAATTTTAGTTTGTTTTCCTCGCCTATAGTCGTCCCGCGA